GGGGGGATATCGGATGAACCTGACAATGTCCCTGAGAGGCTTCACGGAATAGGTAGACATGAGCAGATTCTTAAAAATTGAACAAATAAGCCCCTCCTAAAAGGACCGATGGGAGAATGAGTTTTCCAAAGAGAGAGCGAAGGCAGATAGGCCTGATATGGAGAAGGAACTAAAGAAATTCTGCATGGTTTGACACAGGGTGCACAGTGGAAAAGGTGGGGGCAGGGAGGCTTAGGAGAGCTGAGACTGGTTAGATCATAAAAGAGGTTAGATCTCATCAACTTTGTTACAATAAAAATAAATAAAATTTTTTAAAAAGATGTTAGATCCTGTACTAAGGAATATAGACTTTCTCACCAAGAATACCATGTACCATGGCTATATAAGTACAGACATTCAGTGCACATCAAGGGTAACTCTAAAACCCTAAAAATTCTAAAATTCTGAAAAGTCTAACATGTTTTAGACTTTAGCTAAAGAGTTAGCAGCAGGATTTTTTTTAGAAATGAACTAGACATCGAAACATACTTCAAAGTACTTTTCTGATAAGTTAATGGAGGCAGAGAAAGAGTACAATCAGATTTTGTCTTTCTAGTGTTCAGAATATTAAGGCTGGGAGTTGTCTTATGGAATATCCAACCCGTCTTTTCACAGTTAGGAAATAGAAGTACAGAGAATGGGAAAGGTGTGTCCAAGGTCAAAAAGTAAGTACAAGTGGAGCTGGGTCTAGCCCCTGAGTTTCTTCCCTTCCCCAGTGCAGGGCTTGGACACAAATCACTCCACTCAAGGACTTTTCTCAGCATGGCCAAGCTTCGTAGCTGAGCCCTGTGTTTTGAACTGCATTTCTCAAACTACCTTTCACAAAAATTCCTGTTTNTCTCAGAATTTAGCCCTTTTGTATATTCTGCATACAAAATATATGTGCCCTCTTTATATGTCTTCTCTTTGCACCTAGTATACTGAATTAATCTGGGCCAAGAACAACTTTCTTGTGGTATAATAATCATTTGGCTCCATTTACTCAATAACTATAGTCATGTTTGTTCACCATTTTACCATTTATATAGAAAGCTTATTTGTTAATCTATTTGATCTGAACAATCTGGTTAGGTCATTGTAATCACCACCTTCAATTTGTAGACCAAGAAGCTAAAGATTGCAGAGGTCAGTGGCATGGCCTTACCTCCCAGCTTGGTGATGGCTCTTCTACAGGACCATGCTGTCTTTCTTGCCATCCTGTTATTTTCTGTACTTACTGGTTCAAGACTGCAGTTGCTCTGTTTACTGGAATATGTTTTACTAGTTTTAATTAGCACTTTGAATAAGTTATTTCATTTGATTTCCCTAGCATTTCTGTCAGTTAGGCAGGCCTGGCATTATTAGTACCATTTTACAAATGAAGATGGTTCAGAAGGGTGCAAGTGAGTTGCCCCAGGTTTTGGAACTAGTGATTTAAAAAACAAAAACAAGAACAGGTCTTCATACTCCTAGCTACTGCTATTCCTATTGCCCCATGCTGCCTCTTTGCTCTACTGTAAAATATATCGGAAAGTGAAATACATTTTTATTCTTGGGATTCCACTTAAACAATTCTCTGGTTATGCTCTGTATTAAAGTGTAGAATATTACAGTTGAATAGCATCTATTGTTTTAGCATGAGTTTTCTATGCTGTAGTGCTACCGTGATTAGGGGAATACATAGAATCCAATGAAACAGTTATTGTCAGAAATTTGTTACTGGAGGGAGAAATAATACAAGAGGCAAAGAGATGTGTTTTAGAATATGGAATTGTAGAGGAAGAATAATAAATTTTCCTTCAACGTCCATAGGTTCTTAGTTTGAGTGGACCCCTGTAACAAAAGACAGATTAGCAAGAGAAAAGCAAATAGAAGTTTATTAACATGTGTATTTCATATATACATGAGAGATACCCAGGGAATGAGTAATTCTCAGAGGCTGAATTCCAGATTACATAGCATCTTCAACAAAGAACAGTAAATTTTTAGAGAAGCAATAAGACAAAGGAAAAGGACTTTGAAAAGGACTTTTTTTCTGGGGGCAATAACTTGTGGGAAGGCAAATAAATGGCAGATAAAGGCTAGTTAGTAAAACTTGTTAATGTAGGTTCCTGTGGTATCATCCCTAGATGATAAGCGTCTGAAGCTGTCTTCAGTGGTTAATCTTTGTTCTCCCTGGTAGAAGGGTGGCAGGATACCTTTTGTCTTTGTAAATTTATGTGCTACTTTTGGGTAAATAGGGAGAGGGCAGAGAGCTTTCCTGAATCTGCTGCTTCTTAAATGTCTTCAGTTTAACAATCCTTCATATTTGGGGGTGTCATATGCTGGTCTCGCTCAGTATCATTCTCCTCATCCTGCTCTGAGTAATTCTCAGGCCCTTCTTAGCCAGTGAAAGGAGAATTGTGGGGAGAGGAAATCTACACCTACTTTTAACAGTCTCCTAGCCGGTAGCTGCAGCATTCCAAGATGCTACTGTAGTCTTGCTTCATAATCCATACCCATTGTTTAATCAGTAAAATGGATAGATTGTGGAAACAACAGCTTCTCTACAGAGCATCTTGAGTGTATATGTGGTTCAGCGGTAAGAACCTGTACTGAGCAGGTAGAAAGTAGAGAGTCTGGAATTCTTTATGATCTTAATGACACTTCATTCTAGAATTCCCCTTTAGTTGTGCTGTCTGTATAAACCATGGCTTGATTGTGATTTCTTATGTAATTTAGCAGCTGTTTGCTGTGTCAAACCTGCATACACCTGAATCTGCGTTTATGAAGTTGAGCATGGGTAGGGTGTTGTGTCAAGGAGATAAATTGGAAAGGTGGATGGCTCAAGGTAGTATATGCCAAGTTATGTTTCCTAATTTGTGAATAATACTACAGGAAAATTTATTATAGGGAAGAGGATGGGATGATATAGTGGAGAAATAGGGAATTAGGAGTCTAAAGTTTTGAGTTCCCACTTTCTGATCTTAATAAGTTCCCAAGTCCTCTGAACCTCCATTTTCTCATCTGTCAAATGTAAAATAAAAATTCTTTCTCAGGGTGGTTATGAGGATTTAATTAGAGGATATAGTAAAGTGCTATTCAGATATAATTTATTTTAATAAAGTGATTCCCATATGTTAGGCCCTTTAACAAAAATTATTTCAACTCAGTCCTTTTATCAACACTGCAAAGCAGGCATTATTATCTCCAGTTGACAGGTAAGGAACTGGGATACAGAGAGTCTAAGTAACTTCCTCAGGGACCTACTACCGATGGTTCCTGATTTAAGTTCCAGTTTCTTTTTTGCTATGTTACCATGCTGTTGATAAGGGGTAAATAGTAGAGGTTTGAACTTTAATAACAATTTGGATTATGCTTCTAAGAAGTGGAAGTTGTGGTGTCTTAGATTGGGGTTCATAAAATCCAGACAGTCACCATATTTTTGTATTATTTTTGGTTAAGTTTCTTAAATGTATTTTATCAAATACATTTAAAACACTTGGCTATGTGTCTGCTAAGGTTCATATGTAAAATGTTTTCCTTATTCTGACTTTATTATCAGAATAAAAATATTTCCTTTGAAGTGATCAAAAGTATTTTATAAATCCTACTTTAACATTTTGTTCTTCTTCTTCTTTTTTTTTTTTTGTAACAGTCATTCCTACACCGGCCAAGATTATAGTACCCAGGGAAATGCTGGGAAGATTTCTTTAGATCAGATCGATTCGGTAAGCATCACATACTTTTAAACTTCAGACTTTGTCAGTGGAGGAAGCACAGATTTTCTTCAACAAAAGAGTTTTGAGTGGGAAGATGGGAGAGGAGATTATTTCATTGTTTGCCAATCATTTTCAAAGAAAATTCTGTGTCCTATAGGCACGATTTTTTTTTAAAATCCTAGGAAAACCAAACTTAATCAGAAAATTATTTTTACTTTGATTAAAAACAGAATTTAGTCAATTATTCCAAAAGAGAATTCTTTTGGGTAATGATAGCTAAATGGTGTTTATGTGTTTATATTTAAATACCATATACATTTAGAAAAGGAGAAATGAAAAATACTAAATGTATTAGCTTGTTAGGGCTGTCATAACAAAATACTGCAGACTGGTGGCTTAAACAACAAAAATTTATTTTCTCACTGTTTGGAGGTTAGAAGTTCAAGATGAAGATGACAGCAAGTCTGATCCCCCCTGGGGCATTTCTTCATGTCTTACAGATGGCTGCCTTCTTGTTGTGTCCTCATATGGTTTTTCCACTGTTCATGTATATTCCTGGTGTCTCCTCTTCTTCTAAGGACACTAGTCATATTGGACCAGGGCCTCACCCCCATGACCTCTTTTAACCTTAATTACTTCTTTAAAGGCCCTATCTCTAAATATAGTCATATTCTGAGATGCTGAGGGTTAAGACTTAGGGGACACAATTCATTCCTTAATAGTAAGTATAGGCTACCGTTCTTGGGTTGCCACTAGATTAATGGATAGCTCATTTCAGCTTCATTTCACTTTGTGGTTTCATAGTAGAATGAAAGAGAAGTGTACTTTGCTATTCTTTAATTTGTAGACTTTCTCTTTAATACATAATAGAAATTGCATTCCATCCACAAAAAGGGGAAATAAGCCAGCCATAAATAATCTTTGTTTAGATTACCAAATTATTCACAATAAATTAAAAGTACACTGAGATTTTAATGCTTGGAAACAAGAATTTTAATAAGGTTATTAGGGAGAGACCAAGAATTTTTAGAGACCAGAATGAATAGTTGGTCTTATTATTTGAAAAATTATAATCAAGTACTTGAAGTTTCTCTGTCTAGAAATGACAGTAGGATTGCCTACCTTATACAGTTGATTTGAAATTTGTTCTCAAGGGTATCCCATCTTTCAATTTTTACAAACATATCATTTCTAACAGTCTTCCCCTTCCCCATATGATTTGGTTTACATGAATGGTCGAAGGTTAAGTGTGTTCCTAATTCTAGCTAGATATTTTCCCATTCACAAGCAAATGTGAATTTGGTTGGATACAGTGTGAGTACATACATGTATAATCACTAATTAATTTAGTCAATGTATATTGAGCCCATCAATTATGTACCAGCTACTGTGCTGTAGATAGAGAGGTAAATAAAACAAAATGTCCCTACCTTCATGGACCTTACTTGGGGGAGACAGACAACATAGTAAATAATAGATGGGCAGTATAATGCTAAATTATATTAAGTGCTATGATGATGATCGTATCATGGGCCTGTGCCTGAGGCCCTGTTCTGAGTAATACAGATGTATCTTTATTTGGGCTACTTCCTAACTCTGTGTCTGTATTGCCTCATCCTCATGACAGCATGCCATTAGCATATTCCTTCATATACCTACCTCTTCTCCAGATGATCCCTTTAGATTTTTCTACTAACTGAAATCTGGCTTTCTCAGTGACACTTTGCCCTGAGACCCTCTTAAAGTAGAGGCTGCTTTTTTTCCCCACACCCTATATAGGTTTGGGGTGAGTGTCTTCCTTGGTCCACATTACCACTTCTAACTCATTTCTTTACCTTCCATTGTCAGAGCTCCAGCTCCTTTAAATCCCTCATGATCATATTATACCACCCTATACCTCCCTTGTTTTTGCTCCCCTTACCCCCACCTCATTCACTGATGATTTTTAGCACCAAGCGAATAGTCTCTTGCACTAGCTCTGCTTCTATTATTGTTTTTTGCCTCTGCAACATCCATGTTGATAATTCATCCATAGCCTGGCATTGTAATTCCTTTGCCTGCTCAATTTCCACAATCACTTTTCTATCTCATTATGGCCAACCCTGATGCTATCTTTTCCATTTCCATTATTTGGACTACTGCCAAAGCCTCTTAAGTATTCTTCCTGCCATGTAATCTGTTCTCTACATAATAGCCAGAGTTTGCTTTGTTTATTGGATCACATCAGTCTTCTGGTCAAAACTCTCCAGTGGCTTTCCATCATATTTAGATTAACATCCAAACTCATTTTACGGCCTATAAAGCCATATGTACTAGTCATTCCAATTTAGTCTTCTGCTCCCTTCTGGCTCACTCACTCTGCTCTAGCCACATGGACCTTATGCTGTTGTTTAGCACAACAGATTCATTTCTTCTCAGAGTCTTTGCTTTTGTTTTCTTTATGTGAACAGTAGTCCAGGATCTTCATTTGACTGGACTTTGATTTAAAATATAGATCTTAGCTGAAATGCCATCTTCTCAGAGAGGTTTCCCTGGCCACCCAAGTTAAAATACCTCTCTCCTAGCACACTTGATCCCATTACTCTATTTCCAGTGCTTTTGGAATTAGACATTACTGTCTTTTTTTTTTTTTTTTTTAAGCTCCTGACTTTGAGATTAAGCTTTTCTTTTTCCTTTGTTTGTTTATTTTTTAATTGGGGGAGAATATATTATTTCAAGCTTCATACAGATCAACATTTTATAAGACATGTAATAGTGAATATAAGAACTGCTGTGTCTTTTTTCTTTACTTACCTGAATTAAAGTGGAAAATTGTTTTATTTACCTTCTTGTTTTCTAAAGCAACTAATAAATATTTATTCTGTAACATATAGTTAAAAAGTAGTTAGATATTGAGGGAACCTTGCATGTTCATACTAAGGATGTTGATATTCATTGCTTTTTTTGATTAGAACAAGGTTTAAGAAAAAATAATTAGGTAGTAGTATGAAGGAACAAAAATGGTCACATGAAAATGAGCTGGAAGGCTTTGCAGTAGTCCTGCCAAGGAAGGATATGGGTCCTAATGAACTAGTTAGGGAATGAAAAAACTTAGAAGTTGTTACTGTGACAGGGTAAAGAGAAACTGGATGGTCACTAGAGGGAGCAGCCAAGTCAAGCAAAGTGAGACCTGCTGTTCCTTACAGACAAATTGAATTTGCCAAGGAATATGTGAGGGAGTGAGAATTTAAGTCTTGGGAGGAGGATATTTGAGGAAGTCAGAGAGAATGCAATTAAGACCATAAGTAAAAAAAAAAGTTGGGTTAAAAGTGACAGAGATATTTCATTTTCGACCTGCAGGGTTTTTTTTTCTTTTAACTATTGCTTTCTTTAACACATATATTTGAATTTTCCTTTTGAGGACTATTTCTCTTATTTTATATTCTACTTTGTATTTGAATTATCTTAAAAGTAAGATAATCTGCTACTTGGCCATTGTACTTTTGGATATTAATCTCAGGGAAATGAAATCTTATGTACACCATAACACACAAAAACCTCTACAAGAATATTCATAACAGCTTTATTTGAAATTATCGTAAACTGGAAATAACCCAAGCATTCTTCAGTGAGTGAATGGTTAAACAAATTGTGGTACATCCATCCTATGGAATACCACTTGATAAAAAAAATAAGTGAGTTTAGATGCAACAATTTAGATGAATCTCTAGAAAATTATGCTGAGTCAAAAAAGCCAGTCCCAAAACATTGCGTACTTATATGATTGTACTTATATAATACTCTTGAAATGACAAAATTATGGGGATGGAGAACAGGTTAGTTGCCAAGGACTAGGGAACTGCTGATGGTGGGAGTAGAGAGGGTAGGTAGGGCGGGGGGGTTATAAAAGGAAAACATGAAGCATCCTTGTGGTGATAGAACTGTTTTGCATCTTGACTGTGATGGCAGATGCATGAACCTGCACATGTGATAAAATTGCCTAAAATTGAATACACACACACAGAAATAAATGCATGAGTACAAGTGAGGAAATCTGAATAAGACTAGCATATTGCATCAATGTCAATATCCTGGTTGTGGTAATGTACTATAGTTTTGCAAGATTTTATATTGGGGGAAACTGGGTGCATGATTTCTCTTTGTATTATTTCTTATAAATGCACGTGAATCTATAGTTACCTCCAAAGAAAAAGTTTTAAAAAAACCAAGTGAAATAAGTTTTAATAGTATATTTTATTTAACCCAATATATCCAAAATATTATCATTTTAACATGTAATTAATATAAAAATATTAATAAGAAAAGTTCATTTGTAATCACAGTAATATAGTTATATTTCCTTATGGTCTTTGTTTTTGTTCCAATTAGACTGAATTTTCAGCCACAACAAATATTATGGGAAATGTAGTAAGTCTTACACATAACCAAAAACTGTTTTTTCTTGTAGCTTTCTACCAAATCTTTCCCACCTTGCATGCGTCAGTTACATAAAGCCTTGCGGGAAAATCACCATCTTCGTCATGGAGGCCGAATGCAGTATGGTCTGTTCCTGAAGGGCATTGGTTTAACATTGGAACAGGCGTTGCAGTTCTGGAAGCAAGAATTTATCAGGGGAAAGATGGATCCAGATAAGGTAATTTTGAAAAATCAGAGTGGTAACTAAAATTTTAATTTGGTCTGAAAACTAATCTATTTTTTTAAATATGCTCCCTGAAATGTAGTTGAAAATTCTAAAAGATAAATGTGTCTACAGTTTAGTTTAGGTAAAAAGAAACTCATGTATTAATCCAATAGGTGCTAAGCGAAAGATTGGGACAGGAGTCTTCTCCTTTGTAGGTATACTGTCAGTAGTAATTATAAGACTGAAATTGCTTTCTGAGTTATTCATCTGTAGGAATGTATATGTGTACACACAAACATAATGTTTTGGGGACTAGGAGATATTGTGAATAAATAAAGTAAAAACAATTTAAAATGTTTTTTATGTTATGCACAATCTTTCATAGAGCGTATTTCGATAGTAATTACTATAAACCCGGCAGCTGCTTTTAAACCTCTCATAGTATACAGATTCCCATTCCCACTTTTCATTTCTTTGTAATAGTGCTAGCTAAGAACATTTTATTTGGAAATATGGTTTCCTGCCCCTTCTATGCCATGGCAGTGTGGTATGAAGTAAATTTTTTATTGTTTATTTCTTGGTTTGCTTCCTCCTAAAAACTGGTGAATTATAGAATAAACAATATTTACCAAGTAAATTTTATAGTAACACTTCCTGTATTAGGTATAAGTACCACAGACTGGTTGGTTTGAACAACAGAAATTTATTTCCTCACAATTCTGGAGGCTGGAAGTCCAAGATCAAGGTATTGGCAGGTTTGGTTTCTCCTCTGGCTTCTTTGCTTGGCTTGAAGATGGCCTCCTTCTTGCTGTGCTCTCATATGGCCTTTTTTCTGGCATGTGCATCCCTGGTGTCTCTTCCTCTTTCTATAAGGACACAAGCCCTATTGAATTAGGGCCCCATGCTTATGCTGTCATTTAACCTTAATTACCCTTTTAAAAGCCCTCTCTCTAAGTATAGTCACATTTGGAGTTAGGGCTTCAACATGTGAATTTTAGAAGAACACAATTCAGTTCATAACATATCTCTAGCTATATACTTTATTAAAAAGATCTTTTTATAACATATTATAAAAAGCTCTTAGTTTTTACAGATTTGTTTTAACAACTGTCTTTATTAATATTATCTATAGAATTTTAAGTCATTTAATAGGATTTTTTTCGAACACAGTTTTAGATAATGTTTGTTAGACTTACTGTCATATTTCTTTTATTTTAAAAATGACATTCTGATTATAAAAATATGAAAAGTATGGAAAAATTTATCTATTATCCCTCTCCTTCAGAAATGATTACAGTTAACATTTTAACCTTTCTCTCTACTCTAGATAGCTAGATACCATTGTGTTTTCTCCCCATTTTAAGTAATGACGTAATATAATTAAAAGATAAGTTGAATTTAAAAATAATATGAATCTTCCCATGAACTTTTTAAAGTACCCTTGTATGTTATGATAATTTCTGTGTTGTTGACTAATTTTTGAAAATATCATTTTAATTAGTTGCATAATATTTCATACTTTGAAAGTGATATAACTCGCTTAATTATTCTCCTATTGTTGGATATTCAGTTGTCTAATTTGACTCTGTCATAAATATTATTGCAACCAATATCTTGAGGTCAGAACTAATTGATTATAGTTTTGATTATGTCCTCTGCATATATTCACCAGGAAATAGAATTACCTGATAAGAAACTATAGACAGTTTTAATGTTTTGATGCATGCTATGAAATGACTGTCCAGAAGATTTTAAATTAGACCTTCATCAAGCTATGTGAGAATCTTGCTCTGCCATTGACATCATTATATATTATTACTTTAACATATTTTAAATCTTTTTATTAGTATTTTTTTTTTTCCTTTTTGTCTTTTTTCGTGTCCGGCAATGGATCGCAACCTTCAGTGTCGCGCCCGTACCGGACCGGGACCGGCAATGGGATCGCAACCCTCGGTGTTGCGCCCGCACCTCGCTCAGCCAGTGAGCGGGAACCGGTCTGTATGTGGGATCCGAACCCTCGGCGGGAGCGCCGCCACACTCCCAAGCGGTGCACTTAGCAGTGCGCCACCGGGCCGGCCCTTTTTTATTAGTATTTTTATGTATTAAAGTAGGTAGGTGTATTAGGTTTCCCCAGAGAAACAGAGCTGTGTGTGTGTGTGTGTGTGTAAACACAGAGAGAGAGATTTATTATAAGGAAGTGGCTCACATAATTATGGGGACCGATAAGTCCCAAGATCTGCAGTTTGCAAGCTGAAGACTCAGGAGAGTCAATAGTGTAGTTCCTGTCCAAATGCTGGAAGCCTTGAGACCCAGGAAGAGTTGATGTTTTAGTTCGAATCCAAAGGCAGTGAAAAATGAGGTCCCAGTTCAAGGCAGTCATGCTGGAGGAAATTCCCTCTTACTCACAGGAGGTTCAGCCTCTTTGCTCTATTCAGGCCTTCAACTGATTGGATGACACCCATCCATATTAGGGAGGGCAAATTGCTTTATTCTGACTACCAATTCTAATGTTAATCTCATACAGAAGCACCCTCGCAGACATACCCAGATGTTTGACCACATATTTGGGCACTCCTGGCCCTGTCAAGTTGACACATAAAATTAACCATTAGAGTAGATAGATATTTGTGAACTGGGGAGAAAAATAGGCAGTGGTTTTGAAGTGAAAAAAGAGAAGTTGAGCTAGCATTTTAGATTGGTTTGTGCTATAAACTAAGAGAGGAAAGAAGAAAGAAGAGAAAAGGGAAAACTAGTCATGCTAGCCAGTGTGGACACTTACTCTTTCTAGGTCTTTGGCTTAGACACCTGTTCAGTGACCTGCCTTTTTTTATGTACATCTCGGATGGCCTATGTATCGGTGTCATCACTATTTAGTTTTTTTTTTAACGTGTATGTTTAAATTTTTTTCTCTTATGGGATTTTTATTTTGCAATATAAAGTAGTTTTTTCAAAAATTATTGTAGAAGAAAATCAATAAATTTTTAGCTTTCTAGTAATATATAGCAGTCTATATTTTCAGTAGCTTATTATTGATTATAGCAAATATATTATTTTGACTAAAAGATTATAGGTTACACTTCTGACTTACTGTGATGTTTAGTTTTCTGTTGTTATACAGTCTGTATGTTAAAAACTTCATGTTTTTCTCAATTATATCTTCACTTACATATTTTTGCAATGAAATGTAATAAAGGATACTAAATTATAATATTCTCTTTAACTTAATAATTATACCTATTTGTTAAGTAATACTAATAAAAATATCCTCTGAGGTATAGAAAATTGTTGACTTCAAATACTGTTTACAGAGTATTTTATGGAATGATTATGCAGGTAGCATATTAGACATTTTTTACAGTGCTTTAATTAAAGGACTTACGTGTTGAACCTAGCTCTTGAATGATTTGATATAATAACCTCTGGCAGATAGCTTATTTCCAGACAGCATAAGAAAAATGTTGTGGTAACTGTTTCAACTAGATTTCTACTTTAGTATTATTTTCCAAATGATCATAAAGTCTGATTTCTTTTTCTTTATGCTCATGTCCTCAGTGCAAGTTATTTGAGATACATTGCTGTGTGCATCTGAGCAAAAATTATGGGTACTTAGCCATTACTTTCAAGGCAACAGAGAAGGGTGTAGTATCTCCAACACTTTCCAGCTGCAACTCTGCTGCCACTACTACTTCCCTGGATACACTGCCCAGAACCAAATATTTCTTTACTCTAACTCCTGTCTAATGCAGCTCTGTTCTTCTTGAATTGACTGTCTAATCAGTGTCTGTCTCTTCCTCCCAACTTCCCTGGCTTGGGCATGTTGCAGGCTTTTTTGCATACATTGAATACTTTTCTATCTAAGATTATACTTAATGTTGGAGGGTAGTTCGTTGTCTGTATTCTAAAATAATCTAAAACTGTATATATTAGTGTTTATAACTGTCCTCCAGAGTATAAATATTAAAATAGGATGTCTGTAGAAACCTTTTATTAAGGTTAAACAGTTTTTGTATTATAGTCTACAAAATTCTTGTTTTCTGTTATAAACAGTTTTAAATAGTAATAATGAGATTGTGGAAGCAACTTAAGGTTCTGATGCTCACTGTTAGTTATTTCTTATTAGGAATTTGATGTATTAAGCTCTGTGTATGTAAAAAGTAGCCATCTGTCTATAGAATGCTTATTCAGAGTTGTTAGTTTGGAGTGGTTATTTTTCTATTCTTTTAAAACTATTTTCAGACTAGTGTACATACTCCAGTAAATGATATTAATAATATACAGAGGCACCAACTTTTGTAGCTCCCAGTTATTTGCTACCAGATTATGCTCTTATAATTTTGGGCACTAATCACTACCTCATATTTATTGTTTATTTATTCATTTGTTACCTGTATCCTACAACTAGAATATAAACTATATAAAAACAGGTATCTTGTCTTTCTTGTTCACTGCTGCATGTTCAGGCACCTAGAACAGTGCCTGACTCATAGTAGGCACTCCGTAAAAGTTTATTGAATAAACTAATACATGGAAATTTCCACATTATTTACAGAGAATGAATTTCCATAGGAATTTTCACAGAATTAATTATTTGTTTATTGCTAAGTACATAGTAAATTCTACCAAAGCTTTAAAATTTGGCTTTTGGTATGAGGGAAAAAAAAAAAAATGCTTAATCTGTTTTGGTTCTTTTTAGTTAGAGTTATATATCTAACAAGTTATAGAATATTAAGTCATTTCAGTTGCTAGCCGTGTTTGGTGTCTTCCATGTGTTTTTCTCAATCAAAATTTGGGTTGGAAGAATATACAACTATATAAGAAGTGGTATCCAGTTATCATCGTTATTATTTAATGTTCAAAATATAGTATGTACTTAATTACAAATATTTAGATAATACATTGTCCAATTATGATTCTTATTTAAAGTACAAACAAATATGTATATATGTATGTGTGTATATGTATATACATACATACATAGTCCATCTACTTGGCATAGATTATTCAGGAGATTT